GTACTACTGTTTCTGTGTTACCCACTCTCTATATCTTTCACCTCTGCTCCATTCTGAATAAACTCATCAAGAACTAGCTCTATACAAAAATCTAATATGCCCAAAAATAAATATTTTCCCCCATTAATGAATGCAGTGAATGTACAGTTGCCATATCGCTTTGTATAGTTAGTATCTTTAAGTCAAGGAGCGACCATGCCAACCCGTCTGTCTTGGAGATGAGACCCCATGATCCCTTATCGTGCTGAGATGCATCGCTGAAGGACTCAAGATGTGTAATATAAAACACATGATAATAAAGGAATAAAGGACTGAATACTACATGGTCACATTTAATGGTATTAAAGCCATTCAGCTTCGTTAAAGAGATAGATTACGTCCATATGCAATGAACATTTGCTTCTCTCAATAATAGTAATGGAGAAATGTTCATTGAGCCTGTCCCTTGTCAGACACTTACGTCTTCTGAACGAATTCTTGTTAAACATATCGATTCGGTATTAGATGGCTATTCCTGCACAAAATCATATTGAAGATATGTTGTCCAGATAAGACTGAAGATCTCATTTGAGATGGATTTGAAACAGAGAGGATGTCGTAGAATCGCATGCTGTTTTAGAACTTATGAAAGGAGTTGTTAGTTAATCACTTACATAAAGTGAGAACGACAGTGTGACATTGATTTAACAGGTGTCTCCTAGTACTTTTTAATGAGTATTTCAAACATATCGTATTTAGACTTTCAGCAATAATGTTAACCACTAAGAAGCTATAATGACTGCTTCAAATGACAGGTTGCCACTCGTTATTAAACTCTCCAATATAGGATTTGCTCAGTTGACATTTAACTCTCAATATTCTGAATCTCAAAATCATTCAACAGAACCGGTTTCTATATCACGATTCCAATCCAGAGCAACACAGAGATGGGAGTTACACACCATAGAGTCCAGTCTATCTCTTCGCTCTTTCATTTCAGATTACTCTATGGCATAATTCCAAATTTGGTAATGCGCGACTGGAAAATGTCAATTAGAAACCCAACATGATCATCCTCTCTCTTTGCCTTACATAATATCAAGGGCATCGGCTCCGAATTCTATTTTCTCTTTTATTGATGTTTAATTTCCAATGTTTTACATAGTTTGGTTTACAAACAACTTCATGACCCACACAGACGTGATGGATGAAGGAGAGAGCAGATAGAGAGGGGGATGGTGGCGAGACGCGCAGGGAGCCTACAGATAACGAAAGAAATCCGAATCACGGACACGCTCTGAATGCCAGATATGAGGGAGAGCGGAGGGCATGGTGGAGCACAATTAGAGGACCTAAGAAAAATGATACGAGGTGGAGGGGACAGTTGAGCAAAATATAGAGCACACGAAGAGTATGTAGGAGCCCAGGGGATGAAGGGAAGACAGTATAGACCAGATAACACTATGAAGATACGATGGAAATTGGGTCGGACTAAGAGTAGAACAGTAATAGCCAGAGAGAAGGAGAAAAGGAGCACGAAGAGAAAGAAGGAGGACAGGGAAGAGACTGAAAGAGAGCTAACTTATGTTGCCATTGTCTAGAAGCTCCCCGCAAAAGTATTGGTCCCAGTAATCCAGTTGGTTGGACCGTGAATACTAATAACACCTGGAATTGGGATATTCCGTTGCATATATATACCACCGCTATATACCTGTGCTGAATTATGCATTTTTGAGATTCAAGAATAATTATACCCGAAGTACGACTTATTGAGGATGGCTCCACAATCACTATCTAAGAAATGTAAAACAGTATGTAATATTAATGTCATTACGTAGAGTTTAAATAACGAGTGGCAACCTGTCATTTGCGCACAGCAAGCATCAACTATAGAATAGGCTTCTAGTGGTTAGACAGTGAGATATAGCGAGACTGCAGATTTATGACGTCCTATTAGAAGTTTATCGTTATATATTGTTATTAGAAAATATCTCATATGTAAGCAAAGTTTCATTATACTAATAGAAACGAGACCTCGTAGACCTGTATCCATAGGAGTTACAAGTTGTAACAGCTAACCACTTTTGCGCGGTTCTTTCTACAATATTAATTACCGTGAAAAATGGAACATAAATAGAGACAAATTTTACAAATCACGTATACGATTAAGAGATACTTAACGAACAGGGATGCTGTAGGATATGCACTGACACACACCAGACGAAAACATATTCATTATTCACTTTTACTTTTCTGTGTATTGGAAATTCAAATCCACTCAAATGCACGCATACATTAGCTCTTATTAATGTAACTGTGACTGACCAACTACTAAAAATTCGTAAACATAGATTACTGCCATAATAAAATTGATAGAGCAGAAAATCAAGAGACCAATAATCGCTGAAAAAGTATAACCGTACATTCAGAATTTTAGACCCTGAGTTTTAACATAGATATCACCTTCCAAGAGAACGTAAAGAAGCTGAAGAATGAAGAAGGAGGAACTCGAGCAAGGTAGAGGTAACTCAAGGCAATAATCCTCTATCGCCGATAGTAACTCATAAGATGAGAGGAAAGCACAAAAGTCATTCGCACACCATATGCCGTTAACAAAGTCTAAACCAAGCTGTTACTCTGGGAGAGCGTATGGAGATTAGGCCACTGATACCTACAGGTAAACATTGGACTAATTAATTGGAGACGTTAAAGTGAATTATTTTTAGATTAATTCACGTTCCCAATTACTATAATCGCTTTATCTCTACACAACTTCCCAGTTGTCTGAAGGTGGACTTATTTCGCGGACACTAGCTGTAACATCTTGATCTTCCCGATGCATCTCAGCAGACATAAAGGATCATGGGGTTCTCTCCAGACCAGATACGACTTGGCTCCACTACGGAGTGCCTCACTAAATGATTCTATATGAGAGTACATGACTATATACAAAGCCGAGATAATTAGGCCACACCCTTGCATTCACTCAACTATGAGACATCCGTCACTGTTCCAAATCGGGAGCAGCATACATAATCTTAAATCATATTTTTTTCTGGGGCCTATATTAATAAGTTATCTATGTATGTATGTAACAACTACACACACATTGCTACACGAAGCACCCTCCTATTTTTTTATGAGTTTTCAACACACATCAGAATACAACACACAACAAGGTGAACCAACACCGATTATAGCAAAGAGTGGGTAACACGAGACAGTACACAACAGTCAAGCACTACTATCACATCACACTATATAATATATATTCATAGTACTATTCTGTATGCGATTATAAATATAATATATATTCTATTATCTATAATATGATTATTACTAATGAAAGTGATGATGTAATATAATTTACATTATATTATATGTGACTGTGTTCTGTCGTGCTGTGTGTGGTGTTGTGTATATTTACTATTCTATAATACCTTATTATTGGCTTTATATAGTATTATTTATACTTATTATAATATATATATATATGATAGATATATATTTCTTGATACTATCATCCCTCAATGTGTATGCGGTTGTTTATATAATGTAGTATTTTATTAGAGAATATGCAATAACAACGACAATATCTTTTGGGAGTATAATGGTTGGTATTACAAAGCTCGGTTGTGGTTTGGTGGTTATGTGAATGCTTGGTTCTTTAAGGTCGAAATTAGGTAGCAATGATGATACACTGAAGAATAGTGATATGAATCACTCACTACATCGGAGTAGATAATGATTGTGGTGATGTGTACTGTATTTTCGTATGTATATCTTATGCCTGTATATTGACTACAGTATATACTTATTTATTATTCACTACACCACACTATATTTATATTATTTAATTATATTCCTATGAGGTGATATATGTATTAAATTATTATACACGCACTCTCACATGCATTTACAAATACATGTCCTATATACACATTCATATCCACCGTTATCTCTTATATAGCATTAGGTTATTTAGTTACTAGATGTACATATGATCTATATTGTGTGTCAGTCAGTGTTATATTATACTACATCGATATATTGGTGGAGGTATCACATCACCATATTATTTTCATTACTAACATACCTAGGGTGACATATATTATTTTATTTTATTTATTTTTTATTTTATATACTCATATCCAGTATAAGTTCAATACACTAATACGACTATTGAGCATGTACACTATTATAGTAGGTGAGTATAATATCTGAACCCTACACCTAGAGAGATGTATAGTGACTCTTAATATGAGACTATGTATATAATGATATAGTGATAGGTATGCAGAGTTTGTATATATGACCGACCTATGAACACTAACACAGCTCCGGGAGGTCCCCAGCCGGTGGTTGGCGGTGACATTCTACACACACTATCTCACGACACACACACCACAACACTACACCACACGACAGTCAGCACAGCACACACATATATATATATATTTATGGTTATCTAGGTTACCGCTACCTATTATTCTATATGGGTATTTGCTTGATTTATAGTTTGTGTTATTTATGTGAATCATTTTTGTGTGTGTGTGTCTGTGTGTGTTCTGTGTGTGTTATGCTATGTATAATTCTGCTGTTTAAAAAATTGATATTCAACGAGCGGTGAGCGCTTTGTGTTGTATGATGGGGCTCTTTCAGTTTTGTACCTTTTATAATGATTGGGTAAACGGCGATAGAGCCTTGGTGTTATCCCCGATTTCTTTATGTTCAACCTGCAAGAGCTTACATAAGAACAAGTTACCATAAGACCTTCTAATTGTTTTTTCAAATGACACACTAAATGCAAGTCGTGATAATCGTTCCAAAGCATGCTCTTTTACCTGCTATTTTATCAGGCTTCTCGAGGAATAATATTGATTCGGAGACTCCGCTGCCTACAATTTGTTAATGAGGCGCGCCGTGATCTTTCCTCTTTGCACCTTCTTCAGCTGGTGTTTCTGTACTCGCCCCAGAGACAGACCTTTCTCTGACTTGTGGTTACGAGTAAATTCCGTTTTTGAACTATTTTCACTGTGCTTCCGCTACATGGTAACCTCAAGTGTTGTGAGGCCAGAATAATTATGATTTATGAATGATATACAGGAGATTAACAATGTATATTGATGAATCGCCAGTGTGGAATAAACTCGTGATTAGTAAATCATTAATAAGAGTAGAACAAATACATATATCGAGCGTGGCAAACATAAACAAACTTATTCATTTACATCCTACGGTCATGATGGCCAATATAAACGTATCACCCTACCAACATATATAATAACGAGTATGGTTCTTTCGTAATTAGTTTCACTGTACAATGAGAAGCCTACCCAGATACTATGTATTAGTATGTATATGTGTGTGTGTGCTGGCTTTTATTATAATATATAGTTCTTGGGGGCATATATATCCCTATAGGTCTTATGAATGTGCACCTTTTATACCAATACCTATATCCTCGGTTATTATAGCCTTGACTAGTATCATATATTACCGAGTTATATATTGTATCGTATATACATATCCTGTACTTTTACCTAATATCTACTCTACACTCTAATTATAGGCAATATAGTATATAGATATTTTCGCCTTCATTATCTATACGTGAAAATTTTCATACATATATATATACATCTCAGTAAATCATTATGTTCTATATGGGCTCACTGGGGATTTATTCACCGCAAAGGTTTTCATATCATGCACTATGCACCTGTATGATTTTGATATCTTTGCTAATGTCCTTGTGTTAAATATCATGATTCATATATATTAATGTATAGTCTCTTATCACTCTGATAATTACATATTTCCATATAGTATATATACTTTTATGAATTAATGTTCTTATATATATATATTCAAAGGAGCAACCCATCTATCATTTAGATAGTCTATCCGTGTGTATCTATATCATATAGTAAGTATCAATACTCACGAATGTGATGTGTGATGTGTTTGTGGTGTGTGGATGTGTGTGTGAATGTTAGTGGGAATTACTAGTATTTCACATCACATGGATTGGTTATTAGTTTATACCGTAGTATTAAGCTAGGTATTTAAACTATTTATTATTCCTATATTCAACTATGTGACAGTATTCAACCAGTATATCCGTTGCTTTCGCGTATTGAGGTTTGATTATACATATATAATTATACTACACATTTATTTGTTAGTGTAGGTAATGGAATATTAACCTAACAGTTATTTGTAGTATCCATCTATGCCTTACCTATGAAATATATATTGAGTAGACACGAGCTTATGTTACCTGTTGTATCGTTGTGCTTCTGTATATCTGGAGTGATGAGGAGCCTTTAGTAGCTGAGATGATTATATAACTACTTACGGAACTTTATAAGTCATTGTACAATCATACTGATATTTAGTATATCACTATAGCTTCCATAGCTATTTAGTTTCACATATTTAATGGTGACCTACTATATATCAATAGGAAACCATTAATGAAGCATAATGAATACTCCTGACTAATTTATACTTATACACTGTGATAGGGTTTTTCTACCACTACGTATGGAAGTCTGCATGTGCACCTGTTACATGATCCTGGCGGTTGAAGGCCTCTGCCGCAGACACTGCACTTGTACGGTCTCTCATACACGATGTATAGTTACAGAATATAGTCAGTATATATAGTTAATACTAACTGTGACTGTAAATATTTATTTTTGAGGCAAACCACTTATTTCGCCATATTTATATACATGTACATACATCACAGACATACTTATATTAACATTAGACTTAGATAACAATATTTATTCATGAATTTACCTTGCGCAATTATGTAAACTAGTAATGTAAATATATATATCGGTTCGATGTGTTGAGGTGGTTGTGTCGTGTGTGTGGTGTGTGTGTGTGTGTGTGGGTGGGTGGCTGTGGGTGCTCGTGTTCGTGTGTGTTGTACTCATATTAGGTATTATATGTTCTTGGGGCGACGTAAATAGAATGGTCACTCCTTGATACCTTTGTGGATAATATCATAAATCTCACTTACCTAACTCAGCTCGCACTCCTGATCGTTACGATGGAAATTAATTCGGTATGACTATTATCGAGTTATGATATTATCCGGTCAAGAGCAGCCCAGACCGAGTACTCAGTGAGTAATATGTGTATGTATGTCTATGTCTTGTATATACTACTACGGGGAGATGATAAGGTAGGTCGTAATACCTCGGATAGTCATGTACCTATTGTATCGAGAGTATTCAGAGAGTTTATAGGGTAGGTCTTCATGGTATAATTAGTGAGTATTCCTAGTACTCGAGTGACACACTACACATCCGCAACACACGAGCTACCGCTTCGACGTCGAAAGGCCTCGGGGGCGTCCCGCGGGTCGTCTCCTTCGCACGTGGCGCACTCGTCCGCACCATTGGGTCTTGCCTCGAAGGGAACGACCAGGGCCTTTGGGCGATGGGTCTGGGCTCTGGAGGCGGAGCGGTTTGAGGAGGACTGTATTGGACTCACAACGATTCG